ATAACGGAACTTAACAAAAAAAGGGTATACAGATGAATGTCCATTTTGTATCTGTGTATTCAAAGTGGTTAGGATAGATATATAGTTATATTCTGTTAATGCATAGAATGATTTGTTCTAGTGGTGTTTGTAAATAGGATATCAAGTCCGCATCTTGTACAGCAATTATCTACTAGGGGGAATGTATGCAGTGTGTTAGTTATTGAAACTGTCCTAGCGATTTGATTTGAAACTGTCTCATTGCTATTTATCAATAAAATTATGAAAAAAAAAGCTATCTGAGTGGATGTAAATAAATAAATGCACCAACAGGGGCTGGTGACATAGGTCAGAAGACTAAGTGCCCACTTAAACAAGTGCAGGGACCATTATTCAATCCCTAGCACCACATGCCATGCTGGCCCTGACCCCAGATGTGCCAAGCCTGCCACCAAGAGCAGGTGTAGTGGCGCATGCCTATAATCCCAGCACTGGGGAGCCTGAAAACAGGAGGATCACTATGAGTCCAAGCTGTGTAGTGAGACCCTGCACCAAAAAAAAAAAAAAAAAAATTAGATGCACCAGCAGGGGAGATAGCTTGGTGGTTTAAGTGCCTGCCTGGCAAGCACAAGGACCTGGGTTTGATCCCTGGTACTGCATGTCATGTCACCATGCCAGCCACCAAAAACAGGCATATCTGTAATCCAGTGCTGGGGAGGTTGAGACAGAGGATTACTACAAATCCAAGCTGTGTAGCAAGACGCTATACTAAATTAATTAATTAATTAATTAATTAAAAAAGACATTTTTGATCTGTATTATGGGTGAATTATATCACTTAAAAGTTCATAAAAGGGGGGCCAGCCAGATAGTAAGTGGATTAAAGTGCTTGCTTTGGTAGACTGGGTTCTATCCCTGGTGTGCCGTGCTAGCCCTGCCCCTGGGGTACACTGAGACCAACTATTGAGACTCAGCGTGGTGGCACAAGGCTGCAATCCCAGCACTTGGCTGGCTGAAAACAGGAGGATCACTATGGGTCTGATCTGTGCAGTGATCCCTGCAGACCCTGTAAAA